CCACCTTCAGTGGCACAGATCCGGTCCCGCCTCCTGCCTGCACCAGAACAGAGCTCCTCTAGCCTGCGGCCCTCCCTCGTGTGGTACCATTTAACCCTGTAAAAGCAGCTGCAGGACACACACCGCATCAACAGTGTTGCTCAAGAGCCAGGAGGAGATGCTCAAAGTCCATCCCCACAAGCTCCAGAAACTGCCCACCCAGAGCCCCACTCAGTGAACCGGAGAGAAGTGCCAGAGCTGGCGCTGAGGCATAACGGAGTGGAAAGCAGATCCCTAAGGACCCAAACCCACAGGGAAAGGGGAACGAGTATGAAAAAGCGCCTCACGAATCTGGTGGGTGAGCACCAGAGGCATCATCTCCTGAGATGCAGAACGCAGAGACTCAGACCACAAGGAGGCTAAGAGACACTCTCGGCCACGGGCAGGGTCTCTGTCCCAGGGCTAGGCTTTCCACACAGGGTAGTCCATGGTAAGCCAGTGCATGTTCTGCTACAGCCCAGAGGGGGAAGGCTAGTGGTGGGGGCAACAACGGACCCTACAAGGTTGGCTGGAATAGCAGGGACTTCTCAGACCCCACTCATCTGGCCTATCGCTTCTTGTCACATTCTGGAAAGGCCTCTTCCAGTCTGAGAAAGGAGGGGAACTGTAGCAAGAGAGAAACTTCAGTCTAAGAAAGGCAGTTAGGAAACAGCCAAGAAGACAGCAAGAAGGTGAAAACCCAAGAGAACGTGTTCTGCCCTCCGTCTTCTCTCCCATCTGTCCCTCTAGTCTCACCTCCCCTAGCTCTCCCGCTCCTCATTCACATCCGCACTGCAGTGTTCCTAATAATAACTCCTCTCCATCGCTGCAGCTGCCCCTCCCGGTTGGGCAGGGAGGAGGCAGCCAGCCCGCCACCACCACCCTGTTGGCTCATCACACAGCCAGAGCCTGGCCTTGGCTCCCTGCCCACCCTTCCCTGCTGCTCCATGTCCTTCTCCCCTTCGCTCTGGCCTTCTCATTCAGACAGTCGGGGCCAGGGAGGGGCCCTAGTGGCATCAGGTTATATACTGGAGGTGCCAAAAAAAATGTATACAAGTGGACACTCTGTTCAGCGTTGCTCAAGCAGTAGTTCGCCGTGATCAGAAGTGTCTGGACGCTGACGGTAACCACTTTCGGCACCTCTTGTAATTGCAGAAGTCAAACGTGACTTGTATTCATCTTTTATTATTTGTATATATCGAGGATTACAATTTTAATAGTTTTCTACTTTCTTAAAATGTGTATACATTTTTTGGGGGCACCCTCTGTATTTTCTTAGATAAGACCTTTATCTGTCCTGGCCTTGTTTTCTTCATTTATACCATGAAGGCATGGGATGTAGTACCTTCAAGACCCTGGAGTCCATGAGTACATGGAGGAAGAAAGCAAGACTGACAAGAGGACGATAGCCCTGGACACGATGCAGCAGGAAGAGTAGGGGCACTGTTTGACAGTGAACTCAACAGATTCGGGTAGAAACAAGTAAGGAAGCTACATAAGGATTAAGATTAATAAAATCTTACAGGGCAAAAAAATCTGAAAAGAAATCATCTGGAAGCTCACTAGAATTCGATTTGCACTCCAGCCACACTTTCCCACAAATAGGTTCATTTTGACCTCCATTCAAATCTGGTCTCACAAGGTTCTCTTAACACAGGTAGGATTTAAGCAATTTCTGTGTATTTCTACATTTACCAAGCACCTCTCTTCCACATAAACGTGAAGTGAGGGAGCAGGGGCCATTCCTCTATCGGAAAAACTGAGGTGAGGAAAGAGAACCACTCAAGGTCACAGAAGGCAGGGGACCTGAGTATCTGACCCAGGAGGCCTCAGCGCCTTCCCGGTTTGGTGCTGCAGCTATGCTCAGGCCTTCCAGGCTATAGAAAGGAGCTACAGTGTTGCTATAAAGAGAACAGAAAGAGGGCAGGGGACCTGGGGTGGAAGAATGAGTAACTGCCAGTGTCACGTACCATTGGACTCTAGCTGCGGGGCCCTCTGCACAGCAGCGTGCTGCAGAGCAATGAGCTCATCAGTCCCCAAGGAATAACTCTTTGCTGCCCTGGACAGCTGGACCAAGGACAAATACTCTTTCAGTTAAAAAAAAAAAAAGGCCCTGAGAACAGCAGTTGCTCCTGTGGTTACGGATGTATTCCAGAGCTGTCCATGTTCCACTGCTAACTGTGTTAACTCCTGCAGGGGCTGAGGCTGGGGCTGCGGCAAGGGCAGGCTGGTTCTGGGTGGCATCTGAATGATGCCTTTAGGGTAGTTGAGACTCCCAAAGACACTTATGGACTATATGGACTACAACCAAGAAAGCCAGCATGAGGACAGACTCAACCTCAGAAAGCCTGCTGGTCTGTGATCTGCTGGCTCTGGCAGGTTACAGATCCCTGAAGGTCACCCCCAGACCCAGAAGTAGTAGCTTCTCAGAACTTTCAGCCAATCCCCACCAGACACAGATCTCTGCTACGCTGGGCTGCAAGGATAATTCCCAGGCCTGCCCACAAGGGGTCAGCGTAGTTAATTAAGAGGTTAAACCTGAAGGCCCCCAAACCAAAGCCTCCCTCGGACCTGTCATCTTCCTCCTCAACCATGGCATCCGGCACAGTCTGCAGAGTGCTGGCTGTGCTCATGCTCCTGTCCTAACGGCCTGCTTATCAACCCTCTGAAACACCCACTCTGTATGCAGGCAGCACTCTAGTATTGCCTCCCTTCACCTGGCCCCTTATGCTACCCTTGCTGGGTTCCCTGCAGAATGCACTGGGCCTGCCCTCCAGCTGCCTTATACTCACAGGGTGTGTCCACATTCCCAAGTTTGTCCTAGTCAGCCGCTCTGCTGGCTCTGCTCACGTTGCCTCGCCCTTGGCTCTCTGCACTTTCACAGACTCCCCAGCTTCCACTAGCCCTACACAACTGGTATCCCTTCCCCTTTCCCCAGGAAATCCCTGTTACTTTCTCTACCCCTTTTTTCTTTTAACCTACTCCAAGCAATGCCCTGAGGTTCACAGAACCTGCTGTTTGAAACTAGAGCAGGTACCCAGCTTCCAGGGACATCACTTTGGGAAGCCCTGAGCAGTAGCAGGATCATCCACTGCACGGGCAGCCCCTCCCTCGCCACCCCCTTCTAATTTCACTTAGACACCCAAATTAAAGCTGTGTCCTTTGCCTCTTTGTTCTGATCAGGATGTGGAGTTTATATCACAAAACTGCCCGAGAGCTGAGACTGGTGGGGATAAGCAGCACCCCACCCCCACCCCCACCCCAGCCCAAATATGACCTCTCAGACCCTTGCCCCTTTCACACCTCACAAAACCCCACAGCTAACACCATCATCCAAACACTGCAACCTAGATGAGACAGAAAGACAAGCCAGAAGAGAACGGCATCCCCCGCAGTATTCCGTGCTTAGTCTCTTTCCTGTCACGAGTGTGACTTCTGCATTCTCTGTGGATTCAGTCTCCCAGGATCCAACTCCATCTACCCACTTCCGAGCTCCTCCTTACACAGCAGGAACTTGACTCTTAGTTTATTCCTCTCTGACTCCTGGGCCCCAGCTGCCCTCCTCTCCACACCAAGGCCTGGCCCTGAGTGTGGCAGGACACAGCCCGTCCCCCCCTGCACGGCTCCCTACCTCCGCTTGTACTCGTCCCGTTCGCGCTTCACCTTGGCCAGCACGTTGTAGAGCGCTCGAATCTCAGGGGTGATGGTGTCGATCTGGACGCCCACCCCGTCGGGGTGCACCCACGACAGGCCAGGCCCCTGCACCAGCGTGGGCTCCAGTCCCGGCCCCAGCCGGCGGGCGTGAGAGAAGGACCAGATGGTGCCGGGCATGAAGCGGGCCGACGAGGAGAAGGCGGCGGAGGTGGAGGTGGAGGTGGAGGGCGACGAGTGGCAGGAGGCGGAGGGCGCAAGGGGGCCGGCTGGCGAGCGCGCGGGCGAGCCCAGCACCCGCGCCGACGGGGCGCAGACGGCGGCCGGCCGGGCGCCCAGGGGCAGCCCCAGGGGCCGAATGGGGCTGATAAAGCCGGTCTGCACGGCCTGGTCGCGGCGAGCCAGGCCCCGCCGGCCCTGCTTACCCTCCTCCAGCGCCTGCTGCAGCTGCTTCTCCAGCAGCCGGTTGCGGCGCTCCAGCTCGTGCACCTTGGCCAGGAAGCAGCGGAAGCGGAGGTTCAGGGTCTTGAGCACGTTGATGTTGGAGCCCAGGTCGTTTCGGAGGGCCATGGCGGCGGGGGGCGCCGGGCCCGGCCCGGGCGGCGAGTAAGAAGCCGGGCAGGGCGAGGCGAGCGGCGACGGGGACACGTCCCCTCCCCTGGCGAAGTGGTCGCCTCCCAGAAGATCCCCAGGCGGCCCCGCCAGGCCCTGCTGCTCCTGCTGTAGGAGGAAGAGGTTGGGGCCGAATAACGGATTCATGGCTGCGCCTTCTGCTGGGAGATGGAGACCGGTGCAGGAGCAGGGATGCAGGCGAGGGAGAAGAACCAATTAGGCGCCCGGCAGACGCGGGACAACCAATCAGATAGCACGACAGAAGGGACAGAGGTCAGGGGGGCGGGGGAGGGCAGAGAGAAAGCCAATGAAAGGCTCATTTTGAGGCTGGCCCCTGGACTGTTCCGGGTCTGAGGCTGAACGGAACTGAGTGGAGATCCCACCAGCCCTTCTCCGCGTGGACCAGACCGCAGCCAGTGCCCAGAATCCAGCCAGAGTGACAGGAAACCCAGGTTCTCCAATACACCATGGGTTCTGGTGGCAGGAGCCCATCTTCCCTACACCCCTATTGCCCTCCTCTCCCCAAACACCCTACCTCTGACTCCCCAACTCTCCTTCCCTGAGTCCCTGCGGAATCCTAGGGATCCCAGGAACCCAAAATTTACCTTCTCAGTATACCACGCTGCTCTCTCTCTTAAGAGGATCGCTGTCCCACCCTCCCATCCTTAAAGCAGCAAAGCCAGTATTATCCAGTACCCTCAAAAAAAACACACAGCGACTAGAGATTGTAAAATGTATATTAAATTTCTTATGCAGTGGGAAAGCCATTCTCACAGAGGTTAAGAGTTCCAACCCAGTGACAACAGCAAGGAGCCACCCCCGTCTAGTTTCAACTATCCATCTAAGACAGCAGTGGCTGGCTGCTGCCTCTGGATTGAGATTTTCTCCTCTTTGCTGGTGGGGGCCGGCTGGAATCAAGGGGGGACATGGTGGGAGTCTTACGTCCCTTGGGGGTGCCATTCTGTTTCTGGAAGGCAGTTTTCTTGGAAAGCTGCTCTGGCAACTGCTGTTTTATCTTCTCAGCCCGGTGGGTCTTCCCAAAGGGCTGAATACAGTTCTCAGGCTTCTGAGTGGCCTGGGTCTTGGAAAGGGACAGCACAGCAGGTGTGTCTGTGTCCATGCCCTTGACAGGAGCATTCTGCTTCCGGAAGGCAACTTTCTTGAAGGACTGAAGTTTAGGTGACTGTTGCTTTAATTTCCCAGTCACTTTTGGTTCCCTCATCACTTTGGCCTTTTCAGCTGGCTGACTGCTATCCTGGAGCATGGAGGAAGCTTGGACCTTTGTGACAGAAGGTGCAGTGGACAAATCAGAGTCTGCCCCTTTGGAGATGCCACTCCCATTCTGCTTCTTGAAGGAGGCCTTCTTGGGATGTTGCAGTTTCTGCAACTGCTGCTTTGTTTCCACTTTGGCCTTCTTGGCAGGCTGGCTGCTGCTCTCAGGCTTGGGGGTCACATGACCTAGGCTTGCAGGGGTAGAGGCTGCAGGATTTCCTGGGGCTAAAATTAAACAGATGGTTTGAGAAAATGGGCCTCATCACTGGGTCTTGATCATTAGTGGAAGAGACAGTAGAGGCATTAAAATAAGGAAACTAGGGCTGGTCGAGGGGCTCAGTTGGTTAAGAACTCGCTCAAGAGTTTGAGCTCTGAGCATCAGCGGTTCGAGTCCTGGCCCGAGATGAGCTGCCGCTGAGCTGCCAACAGGTGGCAGGATGGCTCAACTAAAATAAATAATTAATTAAAAAAGGGGAAACTGCCTGGGTACTGTCTCTTGGCCAAGTGTTCCACACAATTGGGACAGTGCCTTAGAGCAGATTACCTAGATTCATATTACTCTATATCACCTTCACTCATGTGGTATTTGAACATTTCATTAAAGAGAAGGAATCACTACCCATCCTTGGGTCAAAAGGTTTTCAGAGGAAGCTGCGCCCCCTTGAGGACAGCAGATAACAAGACACTCTGAGGAGGAGGTGAATCCTGAGTAAACCTGAAGAACTGGGGCTTTTTTTTTTTAGCCAAAGAGGTTTTTTTCTTGTGGATTTTTATGAGATGCAGGAAAATAAGAGGGCAACTAGAGACAAGCTAATAAAATATAAATAAGGACTGACATTAAATATGTACTTTTAAAGTTACAACCAATTTTATAACTAAGGTTTTTGTTAACATTCAGATGTGACTTTTGTAAGGGGCATTATTTATAAAGAAAAAAATCAACTCAATAAATCAGTTTGTATCAAAAGATGCTCCTCTCTCCCTCTTCCAACTAAACCCAGGATTATATCCCAGCATGTAGAGCTCTCAATGTTGTTTAAAAAAAACCCACCCTTCCCATTGAGATCCAGGCCAGGCTCCTCAAGATGGCTGAGAAAACAATCTGCAATTAGTGTGATGGGCTCAGAGAACTGCTGATGGTTTTGAGGAGTCTTACGCCAACCCAGTGCTGACAATGCTGGACCAGCAGAAGTCCATTACCAGTAAGGCAACACTGGGCCAAAAAGAAAAGAAACCACAACCCCCACTGAGAACACATTTAATGCCAAATGCCAAACAAGCTCAGCCACTTGGCAGAATAAAGGAAAAGGCCCCCATCTACAGGAATGCTCTAACATGCAGAGGTCCAGACTCAGGAACAAATCTAGTTGGGATGAAAGGGGTCTCTCATACAAGCAAACAAAGGGCAGCAGAAATCCTTCCCTTCCCTGCAGTCATACTGTAAAGCCTCTTGAAAGGCAGAAAGAACAAAGGTAGTGACGATGGGCAGAGAGCAGATCACTTACCTGTTTGGGACTGGGGAATAGAATTGGAGAATTTCTTCAACTTGGCAATAAAGAAACCATCCATATTGTGGGTGTGAGGGTAGAAGCGGCGGGTAGAACGCAGAGTAGGGTGGAAGCGCCTTTCTCGAAAGCGGGTAAAACCCTCTTGGCCGAAGTCTAGACCTGTGGGCACCAGTCGTACATTCCTCTTTTTCAGGGCATAGTCCACCACCCACTCATTCTCTTCCACCTGGATATGTGGGAGAGAGAAAGATGGAAGGAAAAGCAGAGCTAAAGGGAGCTCTAAGGGGCAAACAGTCTCCCAGCCCTGCCCTCCTGCTCTGCCTCAGCAGAGGCCTCACCATAATGGAACAGGTGCAGTAGACAAGGTAGCCTCCTGTCTTGGAGGTGGCATTGACAGAGTCAATAGCACTCAGGAGCAACTCCTTCTGAAGGTGAGCACAGCGCAGGATGTCCTTCTCATCCTGTCCCAGGAATGAGACCCAAGAGTGTCAGAATTTCAAAAGGCAGCCTCAGGAGAGGTGAGCTCCTGACTGCTCAGAGTGCCCTTCCACCTCCCATTCTGGCTCTGTGAGCCCAGCCAAGACCTCTCAGCTGCCCCCACCCCATCCCGACTCCTCACCTTGTTAGTCTTCACAGCTGGGTCCTTGGAGATGATCCCAGTGCCACTGCAGGGAGCATCCAGCAGTACTCGGTCAAAGCCCCCCACCACCTAGGGAAAAAGGGTAGGTTAATCAGGTGTTTTTGGTCACCTGTACCATACCATTTATTTCCTAGGGGCACGTCTAAACATTCTGATGTCAAGAAGAGGGCAGGTGAACGGAAAGGCAGCTCAGGAGAGATGCCCGAGGGGAGTCGCACCTTGGGGAACTGGCGCCCATCATAGTGGCTGATAATGGTGTTGGTGACTCCTAACCGGTGCAGGTTGCCCACAACACTCTTGAGCCGCTCAGCATTGGCATCATTGGCAAGGATCACACCCGTGTTCTTCATCAGCTGGGCTGAGGGAAGGGAGGGCAGTGCTCAGCAGCCAGCACCTGTGCGCCCACACTTGCTAGCCACCCTCCAGCCCAGGAATCCACAGGTGAAGTTTCAGCCCCTCAAGGCAAACTTCACTCCCAATAAGCCCCGCTCCCCATGCCTACTACATCAGTCTCCCCAGTCTGCACTGGCCCCAGGTGATGAGCAAGCCTACCAATGTGGTTTTTCATTTTTACCGAACGTCTTTCTGCTCGTACAGACTAAGTTACTTCTTTTAAGTGATAACAGCTTAATTAAAATGGTTATGACTAACTTTGTGAACACTGTGCCAAGGACCTCTATATGCTTATCTCAAGCCTCACAACCCAAGCATAATATAATGCTAAGCCAAGCACAACTGCTACCCCATTTTATGGGTGAGCAAAACCCCATCTACTTTCAAAAGCAGAGAGCCAGATGAATCCTACCCCTGCCTGCCCTTCTCATACCTATGTAGCTGGTCTTTCCTCCAGGGGCACAACACATGTCCAGTATCCGCTCATGTTCCTGGGGCGCCAAGGCCATGACAGGTAACATACTGGAGGCTCCCTGCAGCATATAGTGCCCAGCCAGGTACTCAGGAGTAGCACCTGTGGAGGAGGAGCTGTTTGAGACATGCTGGGACAAGGGCAGGGGCAGATGGGCTATTGGGCCAGGAACACTTACCAATGGGCACTGAGGAATCATATACCACTAGTCCAGTCTTCGACCACTTGCCCAGGGGATCCAGGTTAACCCCACGATTGATTAGCGCCTAAAGATAAGAATGAAGATTTTTTAAAACTCTTAGATTACTATACCAAGAAAACAGATGCAAGTATGGTCCTATCAGGGAGTCTGTGGCCCAACTCCTAGAGCTCTCTGTCAGACACAATCATCAGACTCCCTAAACACAATTTTCCCATCCCACCCCATCCCCTGGTGTCCTTTTCCTTAGCCTCAGGCTCTAATTCAAGGTCTGAACTCCATCCCAATGGAGCAGATTATCATATCAGCTCCTATTCAGTTATTTTCTGGAAGTGGACTCTGATTTTCCAGGAGGCTCAGCCCCCTTACCATCCTGATACTTAGTGCTACTGGTTAGAGCACATTAAAGATAATTATCAGGTTATCTTTGCACCAGGATACACCACACACAGGGCCACACCACTGATGTTAGAACAGGGGCCTTTAACCTGGGGGCCTGAACCCTTGGAAAGAATGTGCTTAAAATATTGTGTGTGCCTGTCTTTTTCTGAGGGCAGGAGTCAGTTTCACCAGCTTCTCAATGATCTAAGAGGCAGACAACTCCCTCTCATTTTTGAGGCAGTACTTTTGTCCTGATTTTGATGTCTCAACTATGTCACAGGAAGCAAAGGCTAAAGGGATGAGTTTCCCACCTCACAGGGAGGGGTTCTGGGCCCTGAGCTGGTCAGACAGACCCAGCATGACACTTAGGCCTGTCTAGGTTTGCCTCCTGGGATCATGCCTATACCAAGAAACACTTAGGTACTAAGACCCCACCCAATCAGGGTGGAATAGGGTTAGCAGAAGTCAGCACCTCCCAGAGAGTACTCCTCAAACCTCAAAACCCACCCCTCACCTGAGCAAGGTCTCGGCGCCGGGTTTTCAAGGTATTGGTCCTGAGGGTGATGGGCCGAGGCACCTCATTAGCTTCTAAGAACTCCACCAGCTGGGAAAGCAAGAAGGGAGGGAGAAAGTCAGGCTGGCCAAGGAGCTTAGCCAGATGAGAAGAGAGCAAAGGGGCTGACTGCCTTCCTGACACAGATTAAGGAGAGAGAAGGTGAGAAAAGAAAATCAGAATGGGCATTACTTGGGCAATTCAGTACCTCAGACAGGGGGAAGAGGTCCATGAGCTTGCCAAGCAGGAATTCTCCATAGGAGTAGTAAGTGGCCAGATCCCTCTGAAGCCGATGCAGATATTCAGCTCTAGACCGACCTTCCTCCCGCTGAGTCCCAAAATCACGCAGCACTCCGACTATATCTTGGATTCGCTTGTGAACTCGTTGCAAGTCTGGAGCCTGGGCATGTGGAGCTGTTAAGGAACTGTTCATAATGTCCCAGGGCCTGGAAATCCCCTCTTGTAGCACCTTCCCTCAGCCTTCACCCTGCCCTGGAAGGATATCCTGCTCCGTCTCCCCAGCAGGGGGCAGCACGAAAGGCTCCTCCACTTCCACATTGATCTGCAGGCCCCCATCTGGCTCATCACCCTCTTGGGGGCCTGGCTTAGGGGACATTTCCTCCTCTTCTTCCTCTTCATCAGTCTCCTCCTCACTCCACTCTTCCCTAGAAACAGGTCCAGGAACAGAGTGTTTCACGGATCAGACAGACACTTCCTTCTTCCTCACAGTTCCCTTCATCCCAGCTGCTAACTAGTCTCCATGCTAAAGTTTCCAAAACTCACCCAGCAACAGCTTCCTGGGCCTTCTGCTTCCGAGCAGCCCTTTCAATGGGCAGCAACTGAAAAAAGAGACAAGGGGGTGGTGATACAAAGCCTGCCCTCCCACCATCCCACTAGCACTTTCTCTCTGTATTTTTTTTCCTAAATACAAATGTAACACTTGTTCTCAGAAGGAAACATAGACCCTAAAGAAGCAAATATAAGGTTGGCACAATACTGACCACTGTTGAAACTAACTGATGAATTGACAGGGTTCGTTATACTGTTCTACTTTTGTATTTTCCTTTCCATTAAAAAGTTTAAAACACAAATGCATACACACGTATGTATATGGGGGGGGGGCACAAAAATTGCTCTTGGCATCCATTCTGCCATGTTTTCTCCCAGACTTACTCTACAGTTTTCACATCATTAAAATCATGATGCATTTGCAAATTTGTTTCTTGCCTTTTCTCACTCACAAATCACAAGCATTTTCAGACATAATGGAAAAATGTTAATTTAGCATATAAATGAACCATAATTTACTTATGCCTATCGGGTACTTTGGAATTTCTCAGTTTTTGGCATACTCCACAGTGTGCCTGCACATCTCATAATAGGAACTCTGTAGAGAGAAGGGGGTTGTGGGAAAGTAGTGCAAATGGGAACTTCCTTTTTATTCACAACGCTTTATACTGCTTGAATTTTTCTAATAACACACCCACAATCTAATTGTGGAATACATAAGTAACTTCTTATACCTAAATAAATCGGTCCACATTTTGGATCATCTTCCTAACGGAATTACAAGTCAAAAGGAAAACATTTTAAGGTTCTCAGATACCAAATGCTTTATAAACCATGTGTATGCATTTCTGTTCCCATCAGTGGGATATACAAGTGTCCACTTTACCATATACTCACCAGCACTGAGCATTCTCATATCTTAAAATACTCTACAACTTTTTAAAACTTGCTTGTGCACCAAGAAGACATAAAGGTGATAGGAAAACAGTGATGAAACACTAAAATCCCTTTCTTGTTGTACTCAGGCTTATCTTTATCCTTGTCACTGAGGGACAAGGATCTGGAAAGTCTCTAAAAGGCAAGGATCCCTTCCTGAACACCCAGAGATAAATCTCACCTCTTCGCCTTCACTGTCACCTCCATCCTCTGAGTTCGAATCAGCTCCATAGTCATCCTTCATATCAGCATCGCCGTCCTCTGAGCCCCAAAAGTCCCCTTGGTTTAGCACACCATCTTCTTCAGAGTCCTCTTCCTCTTCCTCATCACTGCTATGGGCTGGTGCTGGGCGCTTCTTGCCTTGAGCAGTGTTAAATAAGGACTGGGCTCCCTTCTTACCAGGTGTCTGGACAGCTCCTGCAGAGATCCCTAAGAGTTTGAAGAATACTGGACTGATGATAGCCACACACTGATGGAGCCTGTACTTTCTACCCCCAAGGATGTCCTCTGGCTGTTCCTTTCACTCCAGAAATGCTCAGCAAACATTCCCTACCCAGGACCCAGAGGTCCTCCCAGCAACTATTTTCACTGACCTTTTGGTAGCTTTCCAGTCAATGGGTTGGCCCCAGGGCACTTATTCGTCTCAGGGGCTTCTGCAGAGCCCAACCTCCTTTTAGCTGCCCTGAAAAGATATAAGGAGTGAAAAAATGAAACATATTTCCAGATACTACCATTTCCCATCACAGGGAAATGTGACAGTCCCCAAACAGCCCTTTTCATCAGCATGATCACAGGGAAGCATGTGGCTGAAGATACACAGAACCAATTTAATCTACATAAGACTGGACATCCACACTCACCTCTTTCGAGCACGACTAGACAGTCTTTTAGAATTTTCGTCACCAGCTGTAAAATTTTAAAAAATAAAAAAATAAAAAGAGGCAGAACAGGAGGTTACCAGGCATATGAAAAAGAACAGAGGTAGAGTAAATAAAAGTGGGGAGAGAATTAGTACACTAATGAAAGGGAGTCAATTCAAACTCACTCCACAGTGCTCTACCAGGAGGTGACTAAGAAAAGTAAGGAGATGATCTCCAACTGGTTGCTCACCAACCAAATCCAAACTGGGCCTCCCTCCAGTCTTCTGATTTCAATAAATAATATCATCATCCTGATAACAGATTCAAAAGTTATCTTTTATTCTGTCCTTTCCTTTAACCTCAACTTAATTGGCTACCAACCACAGCAGATTTTACCTTTATAACCTCTGTTTTTCATACACGCTCCAAGAAACAAAAGGTTTAAATCTCAGCACTGTCATTTACTAACTGCATGCAAATTACTTAACCTCTCAGCATCCATTTCCTTAACAGTGAGTGCCTCTCTCATAGGGCATTAAGAGAATGAAGTGATACAATGTGTCCAAAGGCTTCAGTAAAGTGCCTAGCACTTGCTAAAACCTCAATAAACTGCATTTTTATCTAATGTAAGCAACACAAACTACCTTTCCACTCCTTTCTCCCATCTAGTCTTCCATGCAGACGGCTCACCGTGTGGAAACCAGACCTGTGCTTTCCCATCTCCATCCCCTCCACAATGCAGATCACAGTGACTGGCCTGTCCCCGTCCCAATTTCCTTTTTTCAACCCTGATTCTTAAAATCTGTAAGTTCTCTAACTGCATGGAACTCCCCTTCCTCTGAACTTCCTCAATGTTAAACCGCACCTCTCCTTGCATAGATACTTGGGTCCCTGTGGCATCTTCCCTAAGTTCTAAATACTAAAGACAGTGAGCGTTTCATTCATACTTACTTCCTAATAGTTCATACAAAGCAAGTTCCACTTGAACAGAAAGTGAACACAGAAACTAAAAAACGGATGGGGTTATAAATACAGGCGAAAGAACGGTGTAAAAACTGGAGAATCAGGAGGCATTGCCTGACCCTTACCTGTAGGCAAGAATCTGGCGAGTTCGGTCTCGGCACCCTTCTGTTTCCGAGCCTTTCGGCCCGGCCCACGCTTCTCCTTCTTCGTAGGGTCCAACTTGCGCCCCATGGTACTGGAGAAAACAAAAATGGGAGAAGGTAGAGTCGCGCGTATTGGAAAGGGAAAGGCAGACCGCAGACTTAGCGTATTAAAGTAGGAAAGGGCATAGTCTCGATCAGAACCTCGACTCAGCACCCTCAAGAGCCTCTGGAGGCCTGACCAAACCTCCATTGTACCATGAGACCCGAACCCCACGCCATTTGTACTGTCTCCATCATGTCCAAGCTCAGGTCAGTGCTCCTTTCCCCGCCTTCCTCCAGGTCACCCTGAAGCCTCCGCTCACCTGAAAGCGGGTCCAGGCCCGAGACGCCCCCTCGGTACCAGGTACAGCACTCCACGTGCAGTCCGAGGCTAGCGTTCCAACGCCACCCTCCTAGGAAACGTTTCACGCAGGCGCGCAGAGCGCGCTCGCCTCGTGGCCCCGCCTCTTCCGGTTGCCTCCTGTCGGCCGCAGAAGCCGGAACCTATGAGAGCGCTGGGAACGCGCGTGGAACCGTCCGCGGTGCGGCGGATGGAAATTCGGTGGCGGACCGCTCCACTCGTACGGGCAGAGGGCGAAGGCAGTGGGGGCGGGACCATTTTCGGCTTCCCCGACTTTTCTGTCATGGCCTTGACTTTTTGTCCCGCAGCAGATTTCAGTCAGAAAAACTGGTACCTGAAGGCCACCCCCCCACCCCCAAACCAAAAAGTAACAGCGGGGCCCTCTTCCTGGCACCCTCCGCCCCGCCTCAAGATCAAGGAATCCCGGGCTATTTACCTACTCCCAACCCCTTGACTAGGAAGCCGGCTTCCTTGACCCCAGAGACCCCTGCTCAGCCTGTCAGGTTCCTCCGCCTAGGTTCACATCTGGAGGTCGGGAGGACATCTTGCATGCTAACTTCACACAAGTGTTCCTTCAAATAAGTAATAAGGTAGTGCTTAGTAGCTGTTAAAAACTGTTCCACGCCCTTTACTGGTTCCCAACTCTATGAAGATGATATCTTTATTTTATACAGAACTCTACAACCCAGAAAAGTTAACTTCCTCAAGGTCATACAGCCATTAAATGGTAGTACAGGGTATGAACCCAGGTAGTTTTGAAACCTCTCATTTTCCATAGGCCACCTTCCTCGGTCCTGAGCACATTGGGTACATGCACACATACATGAAACGGCTCTTGTGGACTATCAGAACACAAAGAAAACTTTAGTTTTCAATTACACATTTCCCAAGGCTCGGGTTATACACATTCATCCACCTGCACCTAACACCCACACTGAACCAGAGCACTAAAATACAAGGAAACTTTTATTTTCAATTTTCATCAAGAAATTTGCTGTGGCTTTTTTATGATTTTGGTTCTTTTCCTTTTTTTTTTTTTTCAACTTTATTTCATTCTAGCCATGGCTGGAGCCGCTGGGTTCCTGGTATTAAAAAGATGCCAACAGAGGTAGCTGTGTCTCGCCCAGGGGCCCGGCCCACTCTGAATACCCCAAAAAAGGAGAAAAGAAAACACAAAATAAACCAACAAAATAAAACCAAAAGGAAGAAGAAATTCAGATCGTTTTCTTCAAGCCTGGCAGAAACCCACAACAGTTTGTGTGTAACAGACGTTACAGTGGGGCAAGCCAGGGCCCAGAAGGCGGCCAGCCCGCCAGCTCCCTGCAGATGGCGCCGGCGCTACTGCTGCACTGTCTCTCCAGCAGGAAGGGCACCACTGCCCCTCGCTCCCTTCCCTCCCCCAGTACAGTGGGGGCTGTCCCTTTACAACATGGAAGATGGGCAGAAGGAAGAAGAGGGTCTCTCAGGCCGCCAGGGGAGAAGCTGGGCAAGGGAAAGTGAGGAAGGTCACTGCTCAGCGGTGGAGGTGGTTGTCATCAATCTGGAGCTTTACTGCTGCTGCGCTACCTATAGGAAAGAGAGAGCCACAGAGTCAGAGTTCCAGACCACAGGCATCCACCAGATCCCAAGGGGACCCACTGGTAAGACAGCCCCACCTGCCCACTTAGGGACACAGAGCAAAAGTTACAAGATCCAGAATGGCTCTGCTGGAACACTGGGCTAGAAGAAAATGGTCCTCCTACCTGCTGTGGAGTAGGGTCAGGTGCTCGGTTTGCCAAGCGGCTGAGAATATTACGCTCTGACATCTGTAGCCTCACAGCAACTGGGGGAATTCGGGCAATAGTAGCTGGGAGTCGAGTCACATCTGCTTTCATGTCACTCAGCAGTTCTTCTAGCTGTTTCAGAACTACACAGCGAAAAAAGAGGTGGTGAGCTGTGGTGGTCAAGACAGAGATCCTTTTTACCATAGTGGACTTGCCCCGCTCATGACTTCTCAATGACTAAATGACTGGTGTGCTGGAGTGTTTGAATATTGCCTTTTATCAGTCATCTGACCTGGCCTCCACCAGCTCAAATTTCTATTCCACCTATTCCAGTTCCACCTGTCCATGATTCTATGCTTTTTAAAGTCATCTAATCTGTCCTTTGCTCCCATTCTCTCTATTTCCTCAACTTCTTGAGGTTATTCTTATTGTCTCCTTTTTTTATAATCTTTCCTCACCATTTGGAGCCGTCTCCCTTCTCCTTTATAACAGCCTTCTTTTCCTCACTTCACCCTCCATCACCCGCACATTGTTTTAACTTTAATTAGAAACAAAATGTTGAAAAAAACACTAGAATTTGATGGGATCTTAAAACACCTGAAGTCACCTCTCAAGTATCCCAGATGACACTATATTATTCTGCTTTGCTTTCCACCTCCAACTTGAATATGGTAAGAGGTAAAAGAGAAAACAAATTACTGTCCTTGATTGCCTCTAAGGTAATAGCTTCCCAAGGAGGAAAGCACAGATCCCCAGCACATCCTAAGCTCCCATAAGGGCTCTGAAAAAACATTCTGGAAACAAGAAGTAAATGTGTATTGGGGAGGGGCAGAGGAGGGAGGATGCTGAGTCAGCAGGAGGCAGGGGAGCCACTGGCTACCTTTGTGCAGGACCGCATTGGCAGGCTTGTTTCCTGCCATTGACTCCTTGGACAGGTGCTGATGACTCTCCGCTAAACACTCCACCTCAGCAAAGCGGGTGTTTAGGGCCATGGAAGGGTGAGAGGGGTCCTCTGACATGTTCAGATAAGCTGCACGGCGCAGCTGTTCCTCAATCACCAAGGCTTGTTCTAGGAGCTGGACAAGGGAGAAAGAGGAGATGGGAGTTGGACTGACACTTATTTTCGATGGGCCTCAGAACCTATAAAGAACCTTACGGATGGCTCCCCCACACCCAAGCAGCTCAGCATTGCATTGCCTTTTTTTTTTTTACTCCCTCTTGGAAGTCCATGTCTTTAAAACTCTTTACCCTTTATTGATTCACTCTTACACAAAAATGATAAAAACTCAATTTAGAAAATACAGAATGCATAAAGAATTAAAGTCACAAATAATACCACCTCCTAGAGATACTGTTAACATTCTCAGGTTTTTCTTTGCATATATTTTTTACAAAATTGAGATTATATACACATATCTATGTTTTCACTCAGTTACATAGTAAGCATCATCCTTTATTACTGACTGCACTTTGTAAGATGATTCTTAATGGTTGCGCAGTAGTCCATCCCACAGATATACCTACCATATCACTTCAATTGTTTTACTCTTTAAAATTATTTTTGTCTCTACATCTCCCATTCCTTTAACTCACCATAGGTAACCCTTCTAATATATTTACTGTATGTCTTTTTGTGAAATATTTGAAGACTGAGTGTTGTTTCATGTGCACATTTCTAATTTACAGAATAATGTTCTGCACATATAAAATGCTTTTTCTTCCTTTCTCCACACATATCTTTTTAAAGGGTCACTTTATGTGTTATATCACACGCATTTTGTTGCTTCTAGCTCCATGATGTTAGTGCTCCATGATATGAATCCACATTTTACCTATCTGCACTCCCAATGTTGAACAATGGTTGCCTCCAGGCCCCACCACCAAACATTATACTGCAACAAACTCTTGTACCTGTCACCTGATGGAGCTCTGTAAAAGGTTCTTTGAAATATATTCCAAGAGACAGAATGTTGATTCAGAAGTTATGAGACTTAATTTGCTCAAGTAGCCACTGGTTCTTAAAGAGAATGAATCCATTAGGAGTCAGGAAAAAGGACAGTATGAGAATAACGGGCTATTGTTTCTTCAAGACCTGGCTCCATCAGGGCCTACTACTTTATCCCCAGACCAAGCATGTACTTACTTTTTTTTTTTTAATTAAAAAGCATTTTAATTACAGTTGACATACAATATTATATTAGTTTCAAATGTACAACATAGTGATTAGACATTTACATAATTTACTAAATGATCATCCCGATAAGTCTGGTACCTACCTGACACCATCATAGTTATTACAATATTATTGACTATATTCCCTATGCTATACTTTACATCCCCATAACTATTCCTTTTTTTAATTCATTGGGGTGACCAAGCATCTACTTTCAATCTTTATATCCTGTCTCTTTTACCAACTCCCTCTTCCTGCCCCAAACTATGAGCTTTTTCCAGGATAAGCCCCTGGCTTGCTGCTGTTCTTTTAAAGCATTCTCCCAAGAGATCTCTCCTCTCCTAGCATCAGCTAGCACCTTTATGCAAATGATCTGATGCTTTTCAAACCAGCAGCTCAAGCACTGACTGCTCTGATCCCACTCATGTATGGATAACACTTTGATCCCACTTGTTTATTGTGAAAGGGTAGTGGAAAGGTTATTTGCTTGTGCTTGTGAGAAACACCAAATGACTTGTCTAAAATTGAACTTATCCTTTTCTACAAACTGTTTCTTCTCTTCACTTCCATGATCTGCAATTGTTAATTTTTCTCAGTGACTCGGGCTCAAAACTTCAGTTATTTTTGGCTTCTCACTCCTTTGCATCTCAAATCCAGTTAAGTCAGGAGTCAGCAAACTACGGCAGGGGGCCACATCTGGCCTGCTGCCTGGTTTTGAATGGCCCAAGAGCTAAAAATGGTTTTTCACATTTTTTAAATGGTTGAAAAAAGTCAAAATAAGGGTTTGTGACACTTTGGGGGCCAGCTGAGTGGCTCAGTTGGTTAGGAGCGCAAGCTCTAAGCAACAGGGTCACTGGTTCAATTCCTACACAGGCCAGTGGGCTGCACCTGAGATGAGCTGCTGCTGAGCTGCCAATGAGTGGCAGGATGGCTCAGCTGGTGAGAGCACATGCTCCTAATAACAAGGTTACCGGTTCGACTCCCGCATGGGATAGTGGGCTACACCCACCTGCAACTAAGACTGAACAAGGCACCTTGAGCTGAGCAGCTGCAAGCTGCTGATGGGCGGCTGGATGGTGATTGGACTTGGAGCTGAGCTAGCTGTGCCCTTGACAGCTAGGACT